GCCCGGCTGCACCTACTTTCTCACTCCCCTCACTCTGTTTTCTCTCCCTTACCCTGATTACGCTATCCTTTACACCTGCTTACTTCCAGCTGCACCTGATTAGTTTCTCCCTATTTAGTCCCTGCTCTTTGTTCACTCCCCTGCCAGTTCTTTCTAGCTTTTCTCAGGCCCGTTTGTTCCCGTTGTTCTTTGCTCTGTATTAGTGTATTTGTTTTTGTCTCCTTCTTTCCAGCTGCTTAGATTACTTTCCCTCCTTGCCTCAATCGCTCCTTCGGACCACGGACCTCCTCCACTCTGCTTCCTCACCACCCTGCAGGTCGATGCACAGTCTACCACTCACCGTATGTACTGTTTCTGTTTATCTTCCTTAGCATCCAACTCGACCAGTCCAGGAGTGAGTCCCAATGTCCGCAGCCCGGTCCTCTTTGCATCATCTCCATCATTGACTGTGTGCACCTCCTAGCTCGACACCCGGTCCCTGTATTACTTTACTGTTTCTATTCATGTCACTTATTCATCACTGTAAATAAATAGCACTGTCTGCACCGAAGTCAGCCACCTGGGTCCGTCTATTTTTTGCGAATCGCTCACTGCTGTGTTCGAGCCAGCATAACAGACCTCTTGTGTCATCAGATGCTGTAATCCCCACACTGCCCCCGGGGAGTAGGCAGCAAGGGTCTGAGAACAGTGGTGTAAAATCTGCATCTACAGTATGAATCTTAAACCTCTTGGAACAATTATTCTGTTGTGTTTTTTTTTTTTTTTTTTTAGATCTAAGAAAAAAGATTTAGTTGTTAGCAGACGGTCTGTTCAGTGTTTTGGTAGATTTAGTTAGTGTCTTTGTCTATTCCCTGTGTGTGTTACTGGTTTGGCCAGCCAGTATATACAGTATGTTCCCCATTTGTGTCATATGTCAGGTTTGTTGGTTTTTGTTTGAAATACTATGCAGTTCATTTTGCTGTATTTTGTGTTTCCTTGACCTCTTTTAGAGCCCAGTTGGTTTGATATTGATGATGTTTGTGGTTTTTGCTTATCTTTTTTGAAATTTAAATGCTGTGTCCTCTACCTTACTGCCCTGTCCTTGACACCCTGAATGAATTGTGCTACTCTCTGAACTAACTTTTTGCCTTTTTTAACATTCCTCTCAAGTTCTGGAACTTGTAACTCTTGACTGCACAAGGTCTGAGGATATTCCTGGAATCAAAAGTGATATTTTAATGTGCATTCAATGTATGTTTCTATCATGGTTTTGGTTTGTCTTTCCTGTTACAAATTTTTATTTTGCAGATATTTCCTGTCTCTTGCCTTCTCACCAACACCAGCCTTACTATGCTACTGATTGTCACATGCATATATTGCTTTCACTTGTTACAGGTATGTGCCAAAAAATTAGAATATCGAGGGAAAGTCCATTTATTTCAATAATTTGTTTCAAAAAGTGAAACTTGTATGTTATATTAGTTCACTACATCCATCCATTTTCCTCCGCTTATCCGGAACAGGGTCGCGGGGGCAGCAGTCTAAGCAAAGATGCCCAGACTTCCCTCACTCCAGACACTTCCTCCATCTCCTCTGGGGGAATGCCGAGGCGTTCCCAGGCCAGCTGAGAGACACAGTCCCTCCAGCGTGTCCTGGGTCTTCCCCGGGGCCTACTCCTGGTGGGACATGCCCGGAACACCTCCCTAGGAAGGCG